CTGTAACGATCTCCGCAAGGATAGAGTAGAACTCCACAACACCGCTAACCAACAGGACCTACTCACTTACAGAACACTTAAACCAATGAAAGTAGAGTATGCATGCTTCTTGAGTCCCAGCAGAACATGGATCAAGAAAGACCACGTGCTGGGCCATAAATCAAAACTGAAGAAGTTCAGAAAGATTGGAATTCTATAGAGTGGGTTTACCTCCCACAATGCAACCAAACTAAAAATCAATACCGGAAAGATAGCAGGTGGTTTTCCAAATACTTGGAAACTAAACAGTGCCCTTCTGTGTATTCCATGGGTCAAAAAGGAAGTCTCAAGGTAATTAAAAAGATATGTTGTCTCAAATGAAAATAGTACATGTTGAATTTGTGAGACACAGCTAAAACAGTGTGGGGGAGGAAAATGTATATCACTAAATGCATATGTTAGAAAAGAGGAAGGTCTCAGTCGATGATCTAAGCACCTGCTTCAAGAACCTAGAAAAAGGAGAGCAAAATAAAGCCAAAGCAAGGAAACAGAAGGCAGCAACAAGAACAGAAATCAATAAAATTGAAAAAAAAGTAGAGAAAATCAATGAAACAAAGGGCTGGTTATTTGAAGATAACCAGAAAATGACAAACCTGTAGAAAGAATGACAAAAAAGAGAAAAGACACAAACCGCAGTCTATCAGGAATAAAACGGAGTTTCACCACAGACGGTGCAGACACCAAAAAGATGGAGAGGGATACTGCAATCAACTGTCCCAAACAACAGCTTAAATGAAATGGACCAGTTCCTCAAAAAACACAAACTACCTCAATTTACCCAATGAAATACATCACTGAATATCTCTATAACCATCAAGGAAATGAACTTAAAATTTAAATCTCCCCAAAAGGAAAGTTCCAGTCCCCAGTGGTTTCATTGGAGAATTCTACTAAATGTTTAAAAGAAAATTAACATTAAACTTATAAAATCTTATCTAGAAAATGGAAGGGAGAACACTTCTCAATTCATTTTATGAAGCTGGTATTACCCAGTATGAAAACCAGACACAGTACACACACACACACACACACACACAAAACTGAAGATCAGTATCCCTCATGAATGAAGATGCAAAAGACTTTTATTATTAGCAACTATAATTTCACAATATGTAAAAGGAATTATCCACCGTGAATAATTTGGGTTTTTTTTTTCTGGAGATGCAAAGCTGGTACGATAATTTGAAAATCAGTCGAGATTAATCCACCATGTTAATAGGCTAAACAAGAAAAAAAAATTGCGTGATCATATCAACTGATGCAGAAAAAGCCTTTGATAATTCAACATTCACTCATGATAAAAACACTCAGGGGCGCCTGGGTGGCTCAGTCGTTAAGCGTCTGCCTTCAGCTCAGGTCATGGTCCCAGGGTCCTGGGATCGAGCCCCGCATCGGGCTCCCTGCTCCGCGGAGAGCCTGCTTCTCCCTCTCCCACTCTCCCTGCTTGTGTTCCCTCTCTCGCTGTGTCTCTCTCTGTCAAAAAAAATAAATAAAATCTTTAAAAAAAAACAAAAAACACTCAGAAAAATAGGGTTAGAGGAGACATCCTCAATTTGATAAAGAGCATCTACAAAAATCCTACAATTAACATAGTATTTAATGGTGAAAGACTGAGTGTTTTGCTCATAAGATCAGAAAGAAGGCAAGGATGTCTGTTCTCACCATTGTTATTAAACATAATGCTGGAAGTTCTACCAAGTACAGTAAGATAAATGAAATAAAAGGCAGATATATTGGAAAGGAAGAAATAAATCAGTCTTTTTGTAGATGATGTGATTTTCTATGTGTAAAATCCCAAGGAATTTACTAAAAAAGAAAAGGAAAAAGGAAAAAAAATCCTCACAGAACTAATAAGTGAGTTCAGCAAGGTTACAGGATACAACATAAATGTAAAATAATCAACTGTATTTCTATATACTAGTAAAAGGCACCAAAATTAAAAATATAATAACATGTACAATCGCTCCTAAAAAATGCGGATGGGTATAAATCTAACAAAACATGTGGAGGATCTATATGCTGAAACCCGCAAAGCCATGAGGAAAGCAAGCAGAGAGCTGCATAGGAGATATGTCACGTTCATGGGTTAGAACACAGCATGGTCAGTAGTCTCACTGACAATCAGCATTGTAATACTTCTCCCCAAAATGCCACCTAGGTTTAATGCAATTCCTATCAAAATTGTAGCAAAAATTTGTTTAGCTATAGAGCTGTTGATAGACAACATTGCTCTAAAAATTATATGGAATAGTGAATAAATTAGAATAGTTAAAACAATTTTTTGAGAGATGTATTTATTTTTGGGGGTAGGAGGGCAGAGGGAAACAGAGAATCTCAAGCGGACTCCCCGCTGAGCATGGAGCCGAACACAGTGCTCGATCTCATGACCCTGAGATCATGACCTGAGCCCAAACCAAGAGTCAAACGCCTAACTGACTGAGCCACCCAGGGGCCCAAAACAATTTTTATAAAGAATAATGTGGGAAGAATTCATCCATTTAATTTAATGTCTTATTATAAAGCTTCAGTAATCAAGACAGAGGTGAGAGGATAGACACGTAGATCCATGGAACAGAGTAAAGAGCCCAGAAGCAGACTCTTCCCAATAGGTTCAAGTGATTTCAGGGAGATGAGTGTGTCCATACTTGGTGGCATGTGGGATCTGTGCGCTCAGGTGAATGTCCTGCATCTTCATGGAATTAATGTCAATACTCTGGTTGTGGTCATTCTGCAGGACATTACCGTTGGAGGGAACTGGGTAAAGGGTCCACAGGATGCTGTATGATTTCTTACAACTGCAGGTGAATCTGCAATGATCTCAAAATCAAAAGCTTAATTCAGAAATATTTTTTTAAGATTTTATTTACTTTTTGACAGAGAGAGACACAGTGAGAGAGGAAACATAAGCAGGGGGAGTAGGAGAGGGAGAAGCAGGCTTCCCGCCAAGCAGGGAGCATGATGCGGGGCTCGATCCCAGGACCCTGGGATCATGACCGGAGCTGAAGGCAGACGCCCAACGACTGAGCCACCCGGGCGCCCCCTATTCAGAAATATTTTAAGGTGTTGGTAGCAGGTTATATATAGACGTAATAAATGGACAAGAGTGGATATCATTTATTTAGATTTTCAAATTGCCTTTGCCAAGGCCAATGTTAAACTTCATTGGCTTGAAGAAATTGTCATGGTTAAAATACGAAATTTGGAATCAGATTGTATTTTACCTTTAAAATGAAAATAAATAAATAAATAAAAACCCTCACATAGGTGTTTGGTATGTGTGTGTATTTCTCGGCTCCATCCACTGAAAACTATAAACATTGACTGGCCCACCAATAATGTGCTGCTGTGTACCTTTTAGGGTCCGGGGGGGAGGCGTCTCTCATTTTGATTTTCCCCTCAAGTATGCAAGGACTTCCTGAGGAAATACTTCATTCCAGATTTGGGACCAGGAAAAAAAATATTCTTTGGAACCATGTGTTAACATTCCACTAATGCCAATTTTATGTAACACATTCTCAGTCATTTGCATTATTATCTTGTGATGATACAATAACCAACTGTTGTGGGCAGTGTCTAAAACTTGTGTTGAGCTGTGAACTCAAATCCTGTCAATACTGTGGTCATCCATATCTTACGAGTAAGGTCAGAAGCTCTCAGACTTGGAGTGCCCTTCAGACTATTATTTAACACGTGAGAGAGAGCTATCGTGGTTTGCCCATTATCACAAAAATAATTAAGCTTGCATGCTTCAAGATGTGTTAATTTGATAAAGTAGAAATGTGTGCTAAACTCTGTGCTTCCTACAAGCATCAAGCTGCCCTAGTTGAGCATTTGCTCTTGGATGTGTGTGCGAGATGCTGGTTCCTAGGTGACTTGACCAACTGGAGTCTCCCACTGGGAAGTTCTGGACTTGAGTCTCAATGAGAGACCTTTAGCTTTTTCTCCGTGTCGCCCAGTAGAGGTGCCGTTCATGAGAACTTTCCAAAGCATGATCCAAAAAGCACAAGATCCAAAGCATGATCTTGTGATAATGAAAGACTCATCAGCACAAGCTTTCATGAAATGGACAGCACAATGTTTCGCGGTGTTTGGTCATAATCTATTAAAATCTTTTTGTTCATTTCACCGAATATTTATCAAATGTGCCCAATGGACAGGCGTTCTGCTAGTTCCTGCAGGGAGACAGAGTTGAACAATTTGTAGTCACTGCGCTCAAGGTATGGCAGGAATTTTACTGTGGGATTAGGAATGGCCATTATAAAATGAGGCCATAACAGAGGCAAAGACAGACTAGGAATGTTTTTAGAGAAATTCAGGTAGTCCAATTTGTGTGTGTGTTGTGTCTGATTCAGAGGTGTCTGTGTCTATGTGTTTCACTCAGAATCATGTTTTCTTCATTTTTTCTCCAATATTTTATTTTAAGTACTCTCTGCACCCAACATGGGGCTCAAACTCACAACCGTGAGATCAAGAGTCTCGTGCTCTACCAACTGAGCCAGCTGGGCACCCCGTGTTTTCTTCGTTTTAAAGACGAACTGTTTAAATGATCCAAAAGGACTCTTTCAATAAAGAGACCATTGAATTTCTTCAACTGAAATCACTCCTTCTTCCCCAGACATGGTGGAATCCTCCTACCTGGTTTAGTGAGTTTTCTGGGCAGGCAAGGGTCCTCAAGAATAAAGGGGGGCTGCATGAATGTGAATCACCACCATTTTCTGTTAAACTCACAATCAGAGGGGGACTTGGAAGATTAGAACAGGAGACGTGTCCCTTGTTTGATGTGCAGAAAGGGAGCACCCGGATGGGAGCTTTGAACTTGGGTGTAACATGAACTCGAAGACATGAAACGCCTCTCTGGTGAATAATTGAAAACTTCCTCTGAATCAGATTATTCTTTAAAAGAAATAATTTTTGTGATCATGTTTAAACATTAGTAACCGTGCTGTTTTCTTTTATTATAGGTTATGTATGAAATTGTTGGAGCAATTGAAAAAAATAAAGACACCCTCTCACAGAATCTTCTATTTGTAATGAAAAGTGAGTTTTTTCCCCTATGGTTAAAATGCCACACATTCCTTCTTTCTCCATCTCTGAACACTGTCCTCTGTAATATGCCACTGGCGACAGGGGGATTGAAATATCTTTTACATTCTAAAGCCCGGAATAATAAAGAATGGATCTTGCCACGCTGTACCTTGGCTACAGTTTAATTTGGAGTCTAGTAGAAACCATAATTTAACTAAGCTTTTAGCAGCTAGAAATATAAAATACCTTTACCACTCTAGTGGTATGAACATAAAAAAGCTCCTTTGTGAAGACTAATAAAGATTAATACAGCTTCCAAAATTATTTAGGCCACAGCAGGGTGAATTTCATTACTGAAGATGAAGTCTGGAGCACACCTAAGGGTGGTATTTTATTCTTATGTACTTTCCGTTATAAAGAATTAATGCCCATGAAGTAGAGGGAGTGTATAGATTTATATATACACACACACATGCATATATGTATGTATCAACATATAGGCTCCATCTACTTAGCAAATCTTAGCCCTTTATGTACGTGTATCTATTTCTATACAACAGGTAAGTAACTATATACTACACTTGGATATGGTGCATTTCTATGTATCAAAATGTGTACTTCTGCCTACTTTAGTCATTATTTCTTGATAGCAATTCTGTAGACCTTGGTTCTCATTTTCCTAACAACGTTAAAGTGAATTAAAATGTATCATCTTTTGTGCTTTAAATTGCTTGGCATGAGCTGAGTCATTTATCTTTCCTGGGAAAAAGAAGCCTATGATAGCCTTTCATGAGATGGTTGGATGCCTCTGAGCTGGAAATAAGACATCCATATCACTGTTGGCTTGAGGAACGTATTTACCTTAAATCAAGCAGCGCAGATGCAGTAGATTATTTTTCACGGGGAATTACTCAGCTCGTCTCTCAGAACTTACGGTGATTGAGTTCTCTTAAAACTGAGACTGGTGGGAGGAGCATGGGATTGGAATAATATATAATATCATGCAGAAGGAAAGAACTGAAATAATTGACCCTATTGATTATCATTGGAAATATCCTCCTTCTTGTTTTCAATTATTTGACCTTCCATTTATAATGTACTGCCATCTAAGTCATATCTTTTTTGAAGATCTAATATATAGCATGGTTTTGAAGATGGTGCAATGGCTTTTTCTTTATTTTTTATTTCAGGTGATAGAATATATATTTAGAAAGAGAATGTGATGGCTAATGATATTGTGATCCTTCTTATCTTAACAGAGTCCCTATATTTTAAAGTCATTCTTTTGTGTATACTTGCTATTAAATTCCAAGAGAACACAAGTGAGTCTTGTTTCATTCTAAATACTTTTGTCATCTGAGCAGGTGGACAAATTTACAGTGCATTCATATATGTTTATACAGGAAGTAGCAGGTGTTTTCTATAAAGGACCAGATAATAAACACTTCAGGCTTTGCAAGCCATAAGGTCTCTGTTGCAACTTCTCAACTGTGCTGTTATAATGAGAGAGCAGGTGTAGACAATGCAAATGGACATGTCTGTGTTCCAATAAAACTTTATGTACAGAAATAGGCACTGGGTTGGATTTGACCCACAGGCCACGGTTGCTAACCCATTCTGTCATATAGGAAGAAGATGCATGGTTGTGATATTATTTTATGAATTTGTGAAATGTTTTGATGCTGTAAATAGTTGTTAAAAGCTAGTGTAATTTGTGTCATATGACCTCACTGATATGAGGAATTCTTAATCTCAGGAAACAAACTGAGGGTTGCTGGAGTGGTGGGGGGTGGGAGGGATGGGGTGGCTGGGTGATAGACATTGGGGAGGGTATGTGCTATGGTGAGCGCTGTGAATTGTGTAAGACTGATGAATCACAGACCTGTACCTCTAAAACAAATAAGACATTATATGTTTAAAAAAGAAGGTAGCAGGAAGGGAAAAATGAAGGGGGGGAAATCGGAGGGGGAGACGAACCATGAGAGACTATGGACTCTGAGAAACTGAGGGTTCTAGAGGGGAGGGGGGTGGGGGGATGGGTTAGCCTGGTGATGGGTATTAAAGAGGGCAAGTTCTGCGTGGAGCATTGGGTGTTATACGCAAACAATGAATCATGGAACACTACTTCAAAAACTAATGATGTAATGTATGGTGATTAACATAACATAATAAAAAAAAAGCTAGTGTAATTTATAGATAATATTTTTTTTTATTTTTGAGTACCTTACTAGGTACTTTGTTTATAGTATCTAATTGAATCTTCATATTATCAAAAAGCTCCCAATTGAGGAAGGTGGTAGGGTCTGTTATGGGATCTGAACAAACATCCCTTTGTCCATGAGACACCTTTCCAAGTGGAGGCAGGTAGCTTGGAGACTCAGCTCATGCAGAAATGCAGTGAGCGCTCTCATCTGTGCCTGAGATGTGAAATAAAGTCTGCTTGGCTCAGAAAGAGGCAAAAGAGTCAAAATCTGGAGTATTAAGTCTGCTTAGAAAAATAAAAAAATTTAAGATCTACTGTCAATAATGTTGACAGCTCTTGAGTCTATTGTCTCCAAGTGCCTCTGCATACCTGCTCGTAAACTGTGCACCTAAGTTAGCTTATCCTGATGTCCTGGCAGGAAGACACTCGATGCAATGTTTACAGACCCCCTGCGGGGGATGCTTCCCATTTCAACATAAACATTAACTGTTTATGTTGAAATGATTTCAAGTTTAAAGTTACAAAATTAGTACCAAGAACTCCCATATGCCCTTTTCCAGATTCCTTTTCCTCATTTCCGTTCTTTTACTCTGGCTTCTCCCTCCCACTCACCCTGTCTTCCACTCCCCAGCATCCTTCCCTCTGTGTGCCCGTGTGCACGTGCATGTGCATGCATGTGAGCACAGGTGTGTGTGTGTGCGTGTGTGTGTGTGTGTGTGTGTGTGTGACATATATTTTCTGAACCATTTGAGACCAAGTCACAGGCATCTTTGGTATACATCCTAAGCTAAAGGACATTATCTTACAGAACATCAGCCAACTGTCAGAGTATTAAACATTGATGCGGCGCTAACATCTAGACCCGAGTTCTGTCCCTTTGCCACTCACTCTTGCCATGTCTTTCGTAATGATTTCCCCCCAGTTCAGGGCCGGTCACTGCATTTAGTTGTCATTTCTCTTCAGTCTTCTTTAATTTAGGACATTTTCTCTGCTTATCTTTTTTTTTCATGACTGACATTTTAAAACCTAAAGGCCAGTTATTTTGAAGACTGTCCCTCAATCTGGATTTATTTGCTGTTTGCTCACATTGGCGTCCGCGCCCCTTCTTGGCGGGAATCCCACAGAGGAGCTGGAGGGCCCTCACCCATCCCGTTCAGAGGATGCACCGACTGTTTGAAACACCATTGGTGACATAGCCTTGTTAAGGTGACCCCCGTCAGGCTTCCGTAATGGAAAGCTGCTATTTTCCTCTGTCATTGATAGCCTGTAAGGAAGATGAGGCAAGTAAATATTCTCTTCCACGTCAGACTTTCACCCGCTGGCTTGCATACATGAATGATTCTTGCCTGAATCAACAATTTCTCTGACGGTTGCAAAATCGTGATTTTCTACCCCCCGTTTTTCCATCAATTGTGACATTCAATTGTAAGAACTCCCCTTTTTCATTAATTAACTAATTAAATTATTATTATGTATGGGCTCATAGATTCCTATTTTATCGAATGAATCACAATCTATTACTATCATTATTTTAATGCTAATATTGCTCAAGACGTGGCCAGGGAGAACCCCTTCAAGCCAGCTCCCACATTCTTTTCAGATTCTCATGATCTTGTTTAGCACTTCCTTATATTCCAAAATGTTCCGGGATTATTTGCTATGCCTCCGAATCAGCCCTGTGCCCAAGAAGCCTAGATTTATTTTAGAGAAGAATGGTGTTAAGAAACACTGAGGTCTGGGGGCCTGACGAGCCCTTTTCTACTGGGTTGTCCTTGCTTTGAGGCTCCTTCAGAACTAGACAGTTAAAGATATATAGATAATATATAGGTATGTAGCTCTATATTAAAAATCATGAATTTATCTTGATAGCCCTAAATTGGATCCAACACCACAGGGCTCCATTTTGCCTTCCTGCATTCCATAATTGTTCTTTCCTTCTCTGACACTTCTCCCTAGTTTGTGTATTATGTAGTGACTTTCCTTTATATGCTTTGCTACTAAATATGTTAGTCGGAGCAAGCAAAATAATCTGGGTGTGGAAAAGGTAGAAAAAAGGTTTTGCTGCTGAACAGTGCTAACCAGCTGATGGGTCGGCATGATCCTAAATGATGTGCACGTGACTTCACATTTTAATCCTGTATAATCCTTTAAGTAGGTATGTCATGGTCATTTTGTAGAAAAAGAAACTAAAGTGTGAGGGTTGTGTATATACAAATGTAGGTAACGTGAGAAAAGTGTCTTATAGAGCCCTAACCACCATATACAGTTTTCACTATGCTATTCCAATTTGTAACCAAAATTTAGTAGAATTTGTATAACCTAACATGTAAAATACATCGGCTTTTTACCTTTGTAGCTGAACAGTTTCCCCTAACAACTGGTACAAGCAAATGAGACAGGGTCCCCCGCAGGTGTTTACACACACACAGAGACTGGTTAGATCCTGGGACATGTGTTTCTGGGGTGGGAAGTTGCTGGTGGAAACCACAGGTCTTCATGACTTGGCCAAGGGCACTGAAGGCCCGTATACCCAAGCAGGTGAGATTCAGTTCCCACGGCTAGGAGAGTAGCAGGTGCTACTCAAGAGAGCCAAGGGCCAGTGCTCAGGTGGAGGACAGGGGACACGGGATTAGGACTCCTGGCCAAGGACAGGAAAGGTCAGAATTCATCAAGTGCTAGGATTAATGGTGGGGGCAAAGGGAAAGATGGACCTCTCACTTACGTCTTGCACTGAGAATGTCTAGGGCTTACGGCCCTGGAATGAGGGTGTGTTGAAAGCTTATGTACATAACCATTTGAATGCCACTCACAATATCTCTTTATTTCTTTCCTAGCTAGTGAAAATGTCGTGATCCATCATTTGTTCCAGTCGAAACTGTCACAGACGGGATCCCTCGTGTCCTCCTATCCTTCTTTTAAGTTCAGAGGACAGAAATCATCCCTGCTCAGTAAGAAAACGGCAGCTTCTTCAATTATTGGAGAAAACAGGAATTATCTAGAACTCAGTAAGGTAGGAGTTTCTCTGATTCTTGTTTGGTTGTTCTTAAGTCTGCTTAGTACATTTACTTTTTCTTTTTAAAGTGCAACTCTGAAAACTGATGGAAACAAATTGATATTTTAATTTAAAAAAATGAACAAAAAGGATGCTGCCTGAAGTATAATCATAAGAGAGAGGGAATGGTAGAAGAGGGTACCGTAGAGTGAAAATTCAATAGCAAATAGGGCATTAGTAATTTTATTGGTTGTCTCTGCAACATCCTATTTGTGCCTTGTCTTGGTGACTGTCCTTTTGATGAGTGGGAACTGCAGGGAATAAAGTTAGCTACCTTATTCTGTTCACATTAATCACTTCAGAGGTTTTAGGTCTCTAAACAATAAATTGTAGCTTCTCTTAAAGACATTGTGTATGTTGCCGGGGCTGGAATTATTTTTACCGGATAGTTTGTAGATTTTAAGCTTACTTTTGTATTATACTAGTTTTAATGTGTACGTGTCCAACGCATGTGTGGTTATACTTAAAACATAAAGGTTCTTTTTATAAAATAGAACTACAGATTCAGTGGAGTTTTCTCAAACTGATAGGAAATAGGTAGGAAATGTGTTAATGTTAAGGATTCAGCCCCTGACGGTAGTCTGGTTTGCTCCGCTTGCCTCTACCAAAACCATAGAGATGAGAAATATGTTTGGGAAGGTGTCCAGGACAATCAATTTTAGAAATTCAGTTGTTGTAGCTTGTTGGAATGCATTTTAGCTTACCAATTAAAATAAAAGCATAATTAAAATCAGCTCTATTTTGGAAGAGTGGCAAGATGTATATAACATATTAGAAATGAGTGAGTGTGCGCGCACGTGCGTGTGTGTGTGTGTGTGTGTGTGTGTTTAGCCAGTGGTCCCTACAATTAGGGATCCTTTGATGTAGTCATTCCTGCGCTATCTGATCACAGGAATTCTACCTCACTGCATACAAAATGGCATTTTTTACATAAAAAAGACAAAGGGTTTACCCTTTGTAAGGAAGATCTCTACTCCTGAGGGTTTCGCTGAACCTGCTGGCCCTTCCTTTCTCAATCATCCTGGAAATCAAGAGCGAGAAATCACCACACACCTCTAAACTGTAATTTTTAACCTTAATTATTAAACATTACCAGGCATGGATGCTATTAGTCTTTTCCCTGAAGGACTGCAAAAGGAAGATAATTCACGGTGGTTCCTCCACCCAGAGAGGGAAATTGAGTGTTCAATTTCAAGGGATGGAGATTTATTTATTACGATTATTCCTTAAGTGTTTCATTCCTCACTTCTGTGCAAACTGCCCTCATCCCTGCACGTCTGCGCCTGTGACCAGGATTCTACCCACTCTTTAACTGAGCGTCACGCTTGGCTTTGTGTTTGTAGAAAACCAGTTGATCTTGGACCAATTGCTTCATTTTACATTCCCTTGTCAGTTACCATTGATCATTTCAGCTTGACAGTTCGCGTTAATGGAAGGAAATGAGCGGTTGCCGTGATAGCAACAGCACCGTATTGACAAGAGTGTTTCATCAGATTTTTTCTCCTATCAAGACCTCTTTATTGTAACATAAATGATTTTGGATCAATAGATATGTTGGTCTCAGTCTGTGTGATTTTGTGAAGGACAATAGTACATTAGTGGCCGGGGTTCCTTTTAACCCCCGGTGGGATTGAATTAATTACCTCCTGCCCTTTCTTTCCCCATTGGCTTCCTTTCCACCGACTTCTTTTATCTCCACTATCATTTCATCTTTGCTACATATGACTTTTTTTTTTTTCTTTTAAGAGCTGTCTATAATGACTTAGCGAAGAAAACACAGACTTTTGCCATTTTTCAGACAGGTAATTTACTAACTCCTTTGAGTAGTTAAAAAAAAAAAAGAAGAGGAAGGGAAAGAAAAAAAAGGGGGAAGAAATTGATCGTGGTTAAACTTAAGGGAATAAACCAGTGATTGTTAGAGCATCCAGTCTTTGGAACATAAGCGAGTATCCGTTTGCCCGGCAGTAAGCTACCACTTCCTGAAACACACGCACAGTGGTGATGCAACCAAGCACCAGCGTGAGCATGTTTCCTGCTAAGCGAGTCGGGCTCTGATTCTCAAAATCCGAATAGAAGCAGGGTGGCAACTTCTGTGTACTTGAAAGGTTGGCGGCGATGGTATTATTTAACAAGTAGTTGCCCGTTTCCCTAGTTTATAGTACCATCGCCGAAAATCATTTGGTACTGATTTTTATAGTCTGCTATGAATCTGTGTCGTCCTGTGAGTGAATTTACATGGATGGGAGGCTGAATTTTTTTCTTCTACATGGAATTTAGGAAAATACTACTAAAATCACTGTGTTGTACACCTGAAACTAATGTCAACGATACTTCAATTAAAAATAAATGACTACATACTTACATAAATAAATCTGCTCACCCTTTGTTTCTTTTTATTTTCATTACAGTTATTAAAGAAGAAAGGAACTTCTACATTTCTTCAAAGATTGGAACGGGGAGGTCCAGTCACCATTGCATCGCAACTCAGGGTTAGTGGATTTTTTGGTTTTCCGAAAGTTAGATTTTGATTATATCAACTGTAGAGGGCTTACGTGTATTTTTTCCCCATTTTTGACCTCTTGAGTACCTTCAGATGAAAGTAAGCGCTCAGTGTGCGCACACAGACACACACACCACAGAGAATTCATAATAAAAGATATATGGGTTAAAGATAAACATTTCTATTGAAAAGCTCTTTATATTTTCAGTCAGTGTTTTCTTTGGAGAATCAGCTATTTTTTGCTTCTCTCCCTAGAAATCTCTAACGGATATTATTGGAAAACTTCAGAAGCGCACTCCGCACTTTGTTCATTGCATCAAGCCCAATAACTCAAGACTGCCAGATACTTTTGATAATTTTTATGTGTCTGCTCAGCTACAATATATTGGGGTCCTGGACATGGTGAAGATCATCCGGTATGGATACCCTGTTCGCCTCTCCTTCTCGGATTTCCTGTCAAGGTAAATTCTGCTCTTGAAACATTATGTGCATGCTTAGTGTGGCATTCTGACGATGTGCTAGCAAGGATCTTCTGTTTTGTTCTTTGTTTCAGGCATCGGTTTTATTGTTTATGCAGTTGACTCTTTGAACAATGGGGGAGGTTAGGGGCGCCTACCCCCACATACACACTTGGAAATCCACATGTAACTTTTGATCCCTCCACAGCTTGACTACTAACAGCCTACTGTTGACCAGAAGCCTTACTGATAACACAAATGGTGGATTAACACATATTTTGTATGTAATACGTATTATATACCATATTCTTATAATACAGTAAGCCAGAGAAAAGAGAATGTTGTTATGAAAATCATAAGGGAGAGAAAATACATTTATAGTGCTGCACTGTATTTATATAAAACAATCTCCATTATAAGTGGACCCGCACAGTTCAAACCTGTCTTGTTCAAGGTTCAAGTATATTCTTCTAAGCTGAGTAAACAAAATACTCTGGGAAGCAATAAAATGCACTGACCAAGCTTTTTGTAGAAGTCACTAAACTTTGATACCTTGGAAACCATTTTCATGTTCCTTTATATGAGTAGATTTCCTTGGATTTAAAGATTTCTAAAATTGTTGCATATAATGTTTACATAAGTTTTTCTATTTAAAAGAACATAGGGGCACCTGGCTGGCTCAGTCAGTAGAACATCTGACTCTTGATTTTAGCTCAGGTCATGATCTCAGGGTTGTGAGATCAAGCACCATGTCGGGCTCCACACTAGGCATGGAGCCTGCTTAAGATTCCCTGTCTCCCCCTCCCCACTCTAAAAAAAAAAAAAAAAGATTCTCCCTCTCCCTCTGCCCCTTCCCCCCTCAAAAAGATAAATAAATAAAAAATGAAAGAATGTATATATGTGATTATTTTCTCCCTTATGTCTATGAACAAAATATTTTTTTAGATCAGGGAAACTACTCTCATTGGCCAAATCCAGCCCACCACCTATTTTTGTAAATAAAGTTTTTTTTTTTTTTTAAAGATTTTATTTATTTATTTATTCATGAGAGACAGAGACAGAGAGAGAGAGGCAGAGGGAGAAGCAGGCTCCCCGCGGAGCAGGGAGCCCGACGCGGGACTCGATCCCAGGACCCAGGGATCATGACCTGAGCCGAAGGCAGACGCTTGACCATCTGAGCCACCCAGGCGCCCCTTTTTTTTTTTTTTTTAAGATTTTATTTATTTATTTATTCATGAGAGACAGAGACAGAGAGAGAGAGGCAGAGGGAGAAGCAGGCTCCCCGTGGAGCAGGGAGCCCGACGCGGGACTCGATCCCAGGACCCAGGGATCATGACCTGAGCCGAAGGCAGACGCTTGACCATCTGAGCCACCCAGGCGCCCTGTAAATAAAGTTTTATTGCAACACAGGCACTGGTGAAAATAATGACAGTGTCTGTTCTTAGGCTATTACAAAATAATAGGGAAGTAAGCAAAAAAAAAAAAAAAGAAAGGAAATAAAGTATTTAGTAATCCCGTATAAAAGAAGGTGAAGTTTTAAAATAAAATTGATATAAAATATTGTCAGTATTACAAGAATAAAATCTAGCATTTATGGTTAAAACTAACTGTACACCTAGTATGGAAAATCTGTTTGACAAACCATTCATTAAGAAAAGAGATTTAACACTTGGTTGACCAGAAGTTCCACTTGAGCCACTAGCGTGAGGAGGCGGCTAACTGAGAACAACAGTTGCCTGAACTGCCCTGTTCCCCCAGCAAAAGGTGGTGAGCCTGGCTGTGTGCGCACATGTGTGTATCTATATTATATATCACAATGATTAGAAAATGCTTTTTACCTTTGTTTTTTTGGTATTTTTCCAAGTCTACTTTGACATATATACTCAGCCAGGACTTATCTCTAGGAAAACAGTATATGAGATGAATGTCTGTTAAAATTAAGTACGGCATTTCACAAATACGCATCTCTTGCTCTACCGTGACCTCTAGGCTGGGACCGTGTCTTACTCAGTAACAATGCCTGTGCACTGGAAGTGTTTAATCAGTGCTTTCAGAATGAACCTGGCCTTGCAGATTATTTGTCTACATTTCTACATAACAGAGACCAGAGCCATGGTTTGTTTAAAAGAGTAGTGGGGATGGGAAATGATACTTTTTGGTAAATCTTTGTATTTCTTTCACCAGCCCCTTACTTAAAAGGAGATATGATTTCTACTTATCCTTATTTGCAGTGTCATATCAATAGAGATGGAATTAATTTATTTCAGTGGAAATTTGCTACCATATTTTTTTTTTTTAAGTAGGCTCCATGCCCAGCGTGGGGCCCAGTGTGGGGCTTGAACTCACCACCCCGAGATTAAGACCTGAGCTGAAATCAAGAGTTGGAGTCTTAACCGACTGAGCCACCCAGGCATCTTGCCACCATCTTCCTTAAATGAAGTATTCCAGTCTGGGCTATTGTCACAAAAAACACTGATCCTTAGAGAGATGATCAGTTTCTATAGAACTTGAATAAAACGTAATCCACATACTCTCACATCAGGAAGTAGCATAATTTTTGTCTTTGGTATAGTTGACACACAGTGTTACGTAAGTTTCAGGTGTACAACATAGTGATTCCGCTATAATTTAATATTTATTTAGAAAGCTCATCAGAACTTTGACATTGCCTCAGGCAATCAAGCATCATTATATAAACAAAGATTAGAGGTGCAATTTAATAGAAAATTTTGCTTGCCAAAATCAGATAACCAAATGTATTGTTCCTATGTAAAATATTGATTTTCCCTTCCTATCACCTTGTCTTAATTGTTAGAGAATAAAACCCTTTGAAAAGAGATTACTTTGTTTAGTACACAAAAAGGAATATGATTGCCACAAGTGTATCGGACAGGGAAGAAAAAGATGTCCCAATTTGAAGCAAGCACCTACTTACTTGAACAGCATTTATTGTTCCTGAAATCCAGCAGGACACTAAACAGGGATAATGACATTCCTGTGGAATCTGTAGGTGGATGTGATGATATTGCAAATTTGCTTTGTGGTATTTTGGCTTTAATAACTGTCAATCATTCTGAGCCTTCCTAACTGAAACTGGAGAATCACATTAGTCTAGCGGATCCAATTTTGATTAAATGTAGAGGTACGCTTGCTGAGTGTTTGCCTAATAGCATCAGTAGCTTCCCAGTGGGATGATAAAGATGTAAGGTCCTGTCTCCCATGACAGGAGACTCCGCGAGTTTGGATATAGGGAAAAAAAAAGGAGCATCATGATCCATAACTGGATTTCCTGTTGCTATGAACTAAATCATACGTCCCCCAAAACTTATAGTTCAGTTGAAGCCCTAACCGCCACTGTAACTGTACTTGGAGATGGGACTCTTGGGAGGGCATCCTTGTGGAATGAGCTCATAAGCATGGAGCCCCGATCCGATAGCATTAGTGTCCTTATGAGAAGAGTCATCAGAGAGCATGCACTCTCTCTGGGCTATATGAGGACACAACGAGAAGGCAGCTGTCTGCAAGGTAGGAGGAACCTCTGTAGAAATGAAATTGGCCGGCACCTTGATCTTGGACTTCCCAGACTCCAGAACTGTGAGAAAATAAACTTCTATTGTTAAGCTGCCCAGTCTGTGGTATTTTGTGATGGTAGTTGAAGCTGGCGGGAATACCTGTGTTTGTAGGATATGTTTCTATGGTGTCCGTGGGTAGCAGAGCTGGACCAGTTATGTTGGGAAATTTTTGGCGCTTGTTCTTGTTATAAAATACTCTTGTGTCAATGGAAGGAAATAAGAGTTTAGGGGCATATATCCTGTGGTTTCAAAAACTCTCTCATCCTTTTTACCTTTGTATCCATTGACTCAGTAGTATTTACTTAATATTCAGGATTCATTCACTCAGGCATTCTCTCCTTTGGACAATCTTTCGTAGAATCCCAAAGTGCTTGGTGTCTCTTTCTAGGCTTCAGAAAGGGCTTGTGCAAGACACCTGTTATATGCTCCCTGGAAATAGCCCTTCATGTGCCAGTCTCAACCACTAGACCAGAGGTTAGCAGACTACAGCCCATGGGCCAGATCTGGCCTGTCACCTACTTTTTCATATGGCCTGAGAGCTAAAAATGTCTTTTGCATTTTTAAATTGTTATATTTTAAATGGTTACATACATACAATATTTAACTTCCTCAGTCTTGTCTCTTGGCATACAAAACCCTAAAACGTTTACTCCCTGACCCCTTCCAGAATATATTTACTGTCCCGCATGAGGCCATAGGCTGCTTGGATGAGGGACAGGTGTTACTGCATTCCTGGACTCCAGCAGAATGCCAGTCACCGTTCGTGCTTCTCCAGCCAACTCAGTGACACTGAACGGAATGGATCTCATATGCTCTTCTGTCTCAATAACTTTCCCTAATGTTAGTCTGGTTCTTCAGTGTGTGAGATTTTTCAGAGGGCACTGTAAATGACAACTCTCAGCAGTAGATTCTTGGAAGATAAAACCCCACGTCAGTGGCTTACAATAACAAAACTTTATTTCTCTCTTGCACTCATTTCTGTGATTTAGAAGTAGTACAGCTAAGCTCAGGCCAGCTCTGATCTGGGCCTCTTTTTTCATGGTGGGCCCCAGGAAAAGCTGAGATGTGGGACATGCCCTTTCTGTGTCAGAGGGAGAGGAGAAATGGCCGGAATGCGTGTTGCAATGTCTGCTGAGCTGTGGCATTTTTCACTTATATTCCGTTGGTTAAAGGCAATCCCTTGGCCAAAGCCAACATGAATAGGGTGGAGAAATGTCCTATTCCTAGGAGATCCTATACAACTCGTAACAAACTCAGTTCATCTGTTGCTGTGTATCAGACACCCCAAAACTTCATGGCATAAAAGAACATTGTATTATTTCTCCTAGTTCTGTGGGTTAACTGGGCTCAGTTGGGCAATTCTTGCTTGGGGTCTTTCCAAAAGTCAGAGCCATATAGCAGAAGATGCTGGCATTAGCTGGGCTGGACGAA